AATCGATCAAGATCACATATACACATATATGTTTCATCATAAAAACACATTAATTCTTTGTATTGTCGACATAAAAGTGGATAGTATTTAATACGATGAAGATAAGTATAAGATTTCAAAGTAGAATTCATTAACTCATGTATTGAAACACATTGTTGATTTGATGATAATTTCATTTGAATCTGATTTAATTTTTGAAAAGTTTCTTGTTTAATAATTAAATAATAATCGTTTTTTAAAAGTTCGATAAAAAGAATATGAAATTGTGGTTTTACGTGAATTTGTATACTATTTTCTCCATATTTAATCTTTTTTATTTCTGTTACAAGTTGATGTTCTGAATGATCAAATGCTTCGATATAATGAATAAATATAATTGAAACTTGTTGTATCATATCTTCATTTAATTCAATAGAAATTCCATCTTCAATCTGATTTTCACATCGTTTTCCATAGAAATTTTCTTTACATAAACAAGTAAAATCATTGATATTAATACGATCATCGACTGGTATACATATCCCATTATTTTCGCATGAATTATTTAATGATTGACACACTGAACGTGTTAAATGACAATTTCGACCAAATTTCTTCATTGAACATAAACAAATAGATGAAGTAAGACAAAATGAATCTGATAAACAAGAACAAGAATGTTGAATATTACAATGACGACCCGAATAACTTTGATCACATTGACAAAAATATGATGAATTTTTATTAATATATTTCATACATCGACCATGTTTTCCACAAGATAAACTGCATGATGATTCGAATTGTTGTTGTGTATTAGTTGGAATAAATAGTTGTGAAGCAATTCGATTAACAGGTAAAAACTGAAAAGGAATTGATAGATGCCAACTTGCCCAATATGTTAATGTAATTTTATTAAAGATATCAATACGTATTGAATAATTACTTGAAAGATTTTTGGGTCGATCAGGATAAAGTAAATATATATTAAATTTCTTTTGACAATCACGTTTCGGTATGTATGTAATTTGTTCATGATAAGGATAAATTGTTTCTTGATCATCGATAAGCATGATTACTAATTGAAAAGAATGTATATTATCTATTATCGTACGATATATTAATTGAAGTGTTAAACTAATACGTTGACTTTGTAAATGACATCGATGACCAAAATAAGATGGAGGACAAAGACATTTTTTTGTATGGCTGTTTTTGAATAGAAGAGGAATTCCTCGATTACAATACCAATCTTTTTCGCGACGTATTATCAGAGAACTTTTATTCACATCTACTTGAGATGGTTGTAAAACCGAAGAATTAATAGAAGTTGATGGAAAATAACTTAATCCAAATGTTTGGAGAAATTGTTTTGGTTTTCTTTTAAAATAAAATTGGCTTGTGAGATAGCAGTTAGGAAAAGGATGGTTCAGAACAGCAAAAAACGTAAACGGCGGAGATATTTTAGTTTGTATAAAACAATTATCATCAAAAACTATTGATGAGTTCAATGAATCATAAATCAGATGTTGTGAAGTAATACATTTTGTTTCGTTCCAAAAAAAAAGATCTTTTAAATCAGTATAGGTTTGATTAGCAAAATAGACGAGACGATAATTTTCTGTTTCAGATCTTAAACGTTTCTCCATTAAATGGAGATATGGCACACAGAAAGGCTTGTGAGAGGTATCGTACTCACATAAGTGTTCGTTTGATGAACATTTTGTATCGGGACAATTCAGTTCATCAGCACCATTGAAACAATGCCAAGCGTTATCACATCGAAAGTATGGATTATTACATGGCCACCATTCACAACTAGTCTCGTCTGTATGATTGAGTGTATCCATTAACAATAAATCAGTTTCTCCATCACAAAATATTGCGAAAGGTACAGTATTACTTCGAATATCTCGTCGATTTGCTGGCCATTCATCATCTCCGTGTTCACAATCCTTTATTCCATTTTCAATAGCAACTATCGATAAACATTTTTCCGGATTAGATGTACATATAAAGCGTTTCGAATCATTTAATTGACAAGCAGGAAATAACTCATCTTCTTTGTAATAACAATCACTATAACCATCAACTAATCGATGTTTTGAAATGCATTTTAATGAACGTGAACAATGAAATAAGGATGAATGTAAACATATTTTATCTGTACCAATTGTTAAACAACGTTGACCTAGATCGAACAAAATCTCGTCTAACTGAAACCAAACCATCAATGTTCTATGTATTAGGTTATTCATTTTACAACATGTGAGTCCGTTATGAATACCAATATCTATTGAACAATATACTAATCCAGGACAATGACTTGCATTAAAACAGATAAAATCAGGCGCAATATTAACCTTAAATTCATCGACTGATCGATTTGTTAAATAAAGAAATTGAAACAAGCCATATATAAATGGAGATTTGGGTAACAGAAGCCATTCCGACTGACAATGATCACCGAGAAATTCGCAACGAATATTACTTGTGTCATTATATCGAAAATCAAGAATAGAATAGAATTTAAGTGAGCAGTAGAATGCTTCTCTACAGTGCATTTTTGAGATGTGATCCAACGAAGAGAGAACATTATAAAACATATAATAATATCGATTATTAGCGCAAACGCCATTATTGTTTGTCGTAGTTTCTGTCCAAAACGAGGGATTATTCATGAAATCTTTACATGGAAATAATACAAGTGAACGCCGATCACGGAGTTCTTCACATTGAAATGTTGATACATGTGTACATAGATAGTCAGTTACGTATCTGGAGTACTTTGCCGGATAGATTTCGTCTGAACCATCAAGACAATCAGTACTTGCTTTTCCATCACGAAGAAATGCGGACGAAATACATTGACCACCGAAGTGACAACGAAATTCATCTTCAAAACATTCATTTACTTCTAATGTGTCACATAATTGCTCATCTTCTCCATTGAAACAATCAAAATATCCATCACAAATTTCATGCCAATCAAGACACATCGGTGATGGACCACGGTAACAGTCAGGTAAAAATGAATAACATGTATTCGCATAGACGTCTGTCTGAGATATACCATTAGTACTATACTGGAATTGAAGAACTTCATTAAATGAAGGTAATATAGCAGACGCAAATCTATACTGACACATTGAACCAAACCATGGTAAAGAACAATTGTAAAATATTCCATTTGAATTTTGACCGTTTTTTTCATATCGTTCGATAATATCAATTGGTACTGACCATTTGAGTAATTCCATACTTGTTACACCTTGTCGATACAATTCAGCAAACGTCATATTATTTAAAATATTCTCATACGATATGATAGAGAAATTTTCTTCCTCTTCAGTTCCATCAAGTCGTCGACAATAAGGAATTAAACTGTAATCATCAGTAGATAATAGTGTTGTATCTCCTGAATAGGCATATAAACAATCAAATGTTGCATTAAATCCATATCGATCATCAGAATAGTATACAAAATATTGACCATCAACAATAATAGAAGATGTGAGCAACACTAGTAGTGTTAGAAACTCCATTCTTAGCCGAACGACGCAGAATAAATGTATTTTTTTCTAACTTTATAATGATTTAATGAATCTTTTTTTAGTAACAAGGCAAATAGCATGAAAAAAAGCAAGGACTTACCATATGTTAACAAAACTTATTCAAGTCAATAAAAGAAGATCAGTTTTTATATAAAAAAAAACTTTTAAATAAGTGCGAAATATAATTAAAAGACAATTTCATTTTTCTAAGTTGCTTTATTCGAATAAACTCGTTTCATCAATTGTCAAATAAATAAATTAACCTAATTTAAGTTTATTAATTTTGTTGATTTATATATTAGATGAACAGAAATTCATGGAATATTTTTTTTTCTTTTTATTGCTGACGTCATTAACAGAACTTTATTATGTGCTATTTATCGAATATGTTCATGTAATTCTTTGTGTGTTGCAAAGTCATGAAGCAAAAAATAATGGATAATCATTTTTCTCAAAGGGGAAAAAGCGAATCCTGGATCCTTGGATCTTCGTCTACAATTATTGTGAAAATTATTTTTTCTCATTGTTTCTCTTAGTATTTGGGGTGTGAGTGCTGCTTTCTGCTTTACACTCACCCAAACCCTCTAGTTTCAATAAAATACAACTTGATACATATTCTCATGCAATACATGAACAAACGATGTCTGTGAGGATGAGAATAACAAATTTATCAAACTAAAGTAAAAAGTTTTAATTGATAATACGATAACAACATCTTTTCTTTTCACATTTTTATTTTTCGATCAAATTTAAGTTTATCTGCTTGAGATTAATCGATTTTTATCTTTTTTTTTGCAAACTACATATGTCCTCATTCTATTCCCATAGATTATATATTAAATGTATTTCTAATACTCTGTAAAACAAAATCAGACAGCAAATAATTAAAGACAACATAGGAGATTTACTAAAAAAATATACGATTGACGTCAATTTGAAATACTGCTCTGAAGTAAAACAAATTTATTTTATCTATTTCCGTAAGACAAAGAGACATTTCAGCAACAGATGGAATGTATGTTATTCAATTGATGTAAAATATAAAATATAAAATATAAAAAATGAAATAGTTCATTTTTAGTCTCAATTCGATTCTAAACAAAGCAAATTTCAACAAATAAAATTGTATTGTTTTTCATTTTTATAACTAATAAATTAAATCAATTATTTTAGATGGTTATCTAATGCAAGAATAAGATTAATCTTAATTATTGTTGGAATTCTTATCTGGGTATCTGCGATTATTGCAATAACGGTAACTTTAACGATAAAGGATCAACTACCAACATCAATATCATCGACAACAACAGAAAGTATCGTTTTAGTAACATATTCAGGGGATTTCTGGACTTCACCAATGGTGAAAGTCCTACTGGCAAGTTATGGCAATCGAAAATTGTTAGGTAGTGATGCTATTTCTCGGTGTTGCCTTTCGTTTCTTTTCTCTATGTATTCTTTTTATCCATTGTTCAAGATGTGATCAGAAAACATGGATGAATTTTCTTAGAAGTTGTTGCTGTAGTTTTAGTGATGTTTTGGAATAAACTAATGAGTGTGCGAGCCGACATAGACTAACAAAAATGTTCATTCGACTCAGTCATAACAGAGAATAACATTTGTGTGATCAAGTAATACTTGTTAATTAGATTATAATAAGCCATTTTGTTTTTTCTTTTAGGAACATGGTCAAGTTTCTCTATCACAAAAGGTTTTCCAGAAAGCAAAATGTATGTGAAGTCTATTACAATCGTGGATATAAATGATGACAACAAGGAAGATATTATTATTGCAAATCGGTTTGAATCTCAAATAAAAGTCTTCTTCAATTATTTTAATGGTCACTAAATGATGAAACCGATTCCGTATCTTATGCTGGAATACATAAGAAAGTAGTAGGTGATCTAATATTACTCTTCTTTATAATACTGGAAATGGAACGTTCAACGATAAAATAATGATCTCAACGAATTCTATAGTATACTTATATCGGTCTTTTAACAATTCTTTGTTGATTATATTTATTTAAAATTTGCTTTCGCTTTTCTCTAAATTTAAATAAAATTTTCGGGATATAAAATTATCTATCTGAAGGGGTGAGATAGAGCTCCCAATATCTAATGAAATATTTGTAGGTCGTTGTCGTTTATCTAAATCGAAAAGAAATATGTGAAACTGATTGTTCTCAAACTTAATGTTTCTTTGTCTTACTAATAACAAATCATTCACATAAAAGAAAGAACGAGTCTTTTTTTTCGTTTCTTTGTTTATGAGTCATAGTTAACAGAATGAAAAAGTAAATCTTTACTATGCAATATTTGACTGGTAGATGGGTATATAAATGAAACAGATTCAGAAATAACTTTAAGATTGTACTTCACAGGATCATTTTCTGTAGTAC